GTGCTGCCTTTACATGTTTCTACCCATTTTATTATTCTATTACACATATTACAGGAATTTCTTATAATGTTCAAGGACAAGCCATTACTGAGTGTGCCAACCAAACTTCAGCCGGGCTCAGTGGCTCAGCCTGTAATTCCGCACCTTTGGGAGGCTGAGGTGAGTGGATTGCCTGAGCCCACGGGTTCGAGACCCGCCTGGGCAGCGAGACCTCATCTCTACAATAAATAAAAAAAAAAAATCAACCAGGCATGGTAGCGCATGCCTGTAATTCCGGCTACTTGGAAGGCTGAGGCGGAAGGATCGCCGGAGCCCAGCAGGTCGAGGCTGCGGTGGCCGGGAGCGGCCATTGCACTCCAGTCTGGGTGACAGAGTGGGACTCCAACTCAAAAAAAAGACAAATATGAAAACAAAAAGGGGGAGATGGGTATTATTGTTCCCCCCATGACCAATGAAACCATGCATTATTTACAGTTAATTATTTGAACTGTGATGAACATGGCCAGATGCCTGCAGATAGGCATCAGGCCTCTAATCCTGGACATCCAATGAGTCTGGTAAAATGGAAGGACCTCCAAAGTAACCAGTGGAGGGGACCCAATCCTATGCTAATGTGGGGCATTAGCTTGTGTTTTTTCAGATGGGGCCGATAAACCTATTTGGCTTCCAGAGAGAGTCATCCAACATGTTGATGGACTTGACAGAAAGACTGGAACCTAGACTCAAGAAACTATAGATATCCCCACCAGTCCTGGTGTAGCTGCCCAGTCAGAAGGAACTAGAGAGTGCCCCAATGACAAGATGGAGGCTCCGACGCCCTGTGGTCCCTACCAAAAGAACATCTCCACCCACATGGGGCCAGCTGGAATGCCTGACTCAAAGAGCTCAACAGATAGTTGAGGAGAACAGGGGGCCAAGATCCCCCCCAAGCCTCGTTCGTTGCCATGATAGCCATTGTTGCTTGTCAGGTTAGTGGAACAAGGGGAAATCCTTACTGGATTTATTTCCTGGACCCTCCCATTCTCCAACCCGCTACTTGGGCTGGTGGGTTGGTCCCTGTCTTTATTAACAATACCCGTATGTTGGGAGGACAGTCTGATAAACATATTACTGCTGACCATAGTACAAATTTTAACTTTACAGGGGCTAGTAATAGTCCTCCTATTTGCCTTCCTAACATCCCTAAGTTGGGATGTCTTAAGATAAGTCAAGAAAATAAAACCTCCTAAGGGGCTAAACAAATAGCTAATATTTCAGGCCCCTGGGACATAATTAAATGTCTACAAACCATATCTAAGTGGGAGCTCCCTACTTCTACTTATAATGTCTCCCAAGCTCACCCCAATATCCCGTACTGCCCTAATAGCACAGGAATAGAGCTTTAAAAAAATTCCCCAGTTGGATAGAATGTGCCCTCCTGTGTCCACAGTCCAAAACCTTACAGGAATCCCCCTCTTAATCTATGATTGGTCTCACAGACTGAACCCCTCTCATCCTAACCATGACCTCATTTCCCCTGGGGGTTTTGTTGGCAACATCCTTACTACTTCTCAAGGTGACATCCAGAAGGAACTGTGGCGGCTTGCCACCTCCCTTGATTTTGTTGTTTACTAGTGGGTCTTTGGTCAGTTTGGGAGGAAGCTATGGTACAACCACCCTCTGCTATGGGATCCAGGCCTGTATCTAACCCTCTTATGTCCTTTTAACAGGCTCTGTTAATGTCACCCCAGTAGATAATCATTATGCTTTACAATGCAACTCTTGTAATTTTACAACTCGTGTCACCCGTCATAATGCAGGATAAGACATCCTGATTTTACACCAGCCCCCCTTTGTTATGATTCCTACTAACATGTCAGATCAGGCTCTTGGTATGATGATACAGGACTGCAGGTACTTCAGGACTTACACCATCAACTTGCTTCCCAGTCTCATAGGGCCATTGAATTGATAACTTTTGGATTGGTGATCTTAATTTTGGTCATCGCTTCTGCAGTGACTGCCGCTGCTGCACAGTCTCAATCCACCCAAAATGCTGAGTTTGTCAACACTCTGGCTCAAAATACCTCCAAGACCCTACAACAACAGGAATCCATAGACTTAAAGCTGGAAACAAAATTAATGCCTTGGAGGCTGTAGTCATTGGATTGGGAAACTAGATAAACAGCATAAAAATGAAACAATGACTACAATGCCATGCAGCATACAATTGGGTTTGTGTTACTTGTGTTTCTTATGATAACGGCCTTTGGAATTGGAACTTAGTTAAAACACACTCCAAGGCATATGGAGCCATAATAACATCAGCATAGACCTGCTCAAGCTCCACCACAATATTCTGGACATCCAGAATAGTCAAGATCCTATCTTACAACCTCCCCAAATAGCACAAAATCTTCTTAATGATCTCAAGAGATTCAATCCCTTTAATATGTTAAAACATTCTGCTTGGCATATTCTGAGTCTTTTCATATTTACTCTAATCCTCCTTTGTTTTTTGCCAGTCGGATGTGGAATCCTCCAACATCAATTCAGAGCCACTGCAGTAGTCATCCATTGCCTGTATTTAAAAAATAAAAAAGGAAGAGATGTCAGAAGCAGATATAATGTGGGAAACAAACACTGTCACTGTAGCAGGCCTTAAGTAAAGGCCCCAAGCAAAGGCAAGGTCTCGCTTAATGGCCCCAAGCTCGTAGGCAAGGTCTCATTGGAAGCTCTGCATCCTAGCCAAAGGCAGGCTGTGAGGAATGCAGCCTGCTACACAAAACAGTGTCTCAAATGCCCACACATCTGGGTGTACAACAAGATAACTACGGAACAGCTAGCCTTTTAGGTAGCAACATAATTCCGTTATGGCTCCCTCACAGACCTTGAATCCCTTTCAACTTCCCCTGTGCTTGATTATAAAATAAACATGCTGAGCTAGTTTGGGGCCACTTCTCCTCCATCAGAGGAAAGTGTCCCACCTGGCCCCAGCTTTTCTTTATGTCTTTGTGTCTGTGTGTCTCTTAATCTCCTCCAGCTCTCTCTGGGGACCCTCAAGGCAGCCCCGTGGGCCACGACAATAGATCTCATTTTGTTTCTTACTTTTTCCCCTCTGGACGTTTTCAAAGATCTATCCATGTTGCTGGCTATATATCTAGTTTCCTGCTTCCAACTGTTGCATAGTATTATTATTGTATGCATTCACTTATCTTACTGACGTGCATCTTTCTCTACAGAGAGAGTCTGATTTCAAGATGAGCCAGACCAAATCAGAGTATTTCACTTTTCTACTTGCCTCTTTCTAAACAGTATTTGTCATCATTCATGATAACGTTATAAGTGGCCATCAACAGAGGGGGTATTGCTCAGAAGACATGACATCCAGTCCCAACTATGCTTCATTCTGGTTTTGAGACCTGTCAATAGGGCTCAGGCTGTAGCAACAACTTGTAGGTGAAATTACCCGATAACTTTAGATAACTCTGGAGCAGATGAGTTGCACCTGTAGGCCAAATGGTGTCCCTGAAACGACAAACGTTATTTTTGTCAATACATATTTTACCAATGTTTAGGCAAACATTTCTCTAAACTTGTAATAGCAATACTATTAAATGTTGTTTATTATGATTGAATGAATGGGAGACATTTTCCCACCACCAGTAAATGAAAACAAATCACTAATAGATATATGAGTATTCGGTATTTCTACTTCCATTTTTTTTTTTTGCCTTTTAATGCATATATTTTGGAGGAGGGGGAAGTTAATAAAAGACCAAAAATGGAAGGAGATATTCAGTCTTCTTCTTCTTCTTCTTCTTCTTCTTTTGTTTTTTTTTTGCAGTGGCATGCTCCCGGCCACTGCAGCCTCGCCCTGCTGGGCTCGGCGATCCTTCCGCCTCAGCCTTCCAAGTAGCCGGAACTACAGGCGTGCCCTACTACGCCGGGCTAGTTTTTGATTTATTGTAGAGACGAGGTCTCGCCAAGTTTCCCAGGCTGGTCTCGAACCCGAGGGCTCAGGCAATCCATTCGCCTTGGCCTCCCAAACTGCTGGGATTACAAGCTGAGCCACCGAGCTCGGCCGAACCTACTTCTTGAAGGCAGTTTTTTGTTTTTTTTTTTTTTTTGAGCTGGAGTCTCACTCTGTCGCCCAGACTGGAGTGCAGTGGCCGCTCCCGGCCACCGCAGCCTCGACCTGCTGGGCTCCGGCGATCCTTCCGCCTCAGCCTTCCAAGTAGCTGGAACTACAGGCGCGGGCTGCCACACCCGGCTTATTTTGATTTATTGTAGAGATGAGGTCTCGCCAAGTTGCCCAGGCGGGTCTCAAACTCGCAGGCTCAGGCAATCCACTCAGCTCAGCCTCCCAAAGGCGCGGGGTTACAGGCTGAGCCACCGAGCCCGGCTGAAGGCAGTTTTTTAAAAGTCATGACCATGAGGAAGCACGTCATTAAACAGCCTGGAAAAACACAGATTCGGGTTTGGGTTGGGTTAGGATTACTTTACGTTTAATAAAGACCAAATGAAACAATGAAAGGGCTTTTAAGCACACCAGCAGAAAAGGCCATAAATGGCCTGGCGAGGTGGTTCACACCTGTAATCTTAGCACTTTGGGAGGCTGAAGCAGGAGGATAGCTTGAGGACAAGAGTTTGAGACCAGTCTGGGCAACAAAGCGAGACTTATTCTCATTTAAAAAAAAAAAAATAGGGGGGAGGGGGATGGGATTAACAGTAGCAAATATCTGTCGGGGGATGGGAAAACACTTCTTATCTACAGGGTGCCTGAATGAAACGTCATTGTACACCTAACCCTTAACTGTACCCCACAAAACCATAATAAAAAATACTGATTAATGAAAAAAAAAAAATAGTCGCGCGTGGTGGTGCACGCCTGTAGTCTCAGCTGTCGTTCTGAGATCAGGAAGTCGAATCTGCGGTGCGCTGTGATCACCACATTGAACTCCCTTCGTGACTCCGGTTCTGATGCAAGGGGCCAGCGAGTAGCCTGGGCCACGCAAGGGATGGGATCAGAGGAAGGGACTTCTCAGCGGCACCTGGACAAGTGTGGAGCTATGGAAGCAATGAAGGGGCGGAGCAGTGCGGGCTGGGCAAAGCCAGTGAGTGGGGCCGTACCTGCGGGACAGGACTCTTGAGCAGAGCCTCTCTGCAGCTCTCGGCCAGGGGCGGAGCTACGCTGGCGGCAGCCACCTTGAGGAGGCGGTGAGAGGGCGGAGCTCTGCTTTCGGCTAGTCCCGCGGGCGGTGGAGGAGGGGCCGAAGAGGCGAAGGATACCTGAGCCGGGCGAAGGCGGGGAGAGCCCGGGGGCGGGGCGGGGCGCTTATAGTCCTCGCGTCCGGCCGGCCTCGGGGCTCGCGCTTCTGTGCTTCCCTCGGTCCATCTGCTGGGCCTGCACCGGGCCT